TCAATATACTTTCCCAGTGATTAAACCAATCAAATCAGCATTTTATACAAAGTATTTTACCATAACTATCAATGGAACTATGTAAAAGAAATCCACAGACATCAAAAAAAGCACTAGGCTTTTTTCATCTCTGATTGAAACAACAATTGAGCAAAACTGTCTTAGTATAATGTCTAAATTGCAAGAATAAAGTTCTACACACGCAAAAAAAGCCATATTATGAATTCTATGTTGTAAAGTTAGCATTTTTCACATTATGCAGTGACACTCAACATTTACTGTCGCACTTAGCAGGCAATTTAATTACATATCTTGAAAGGATTTAATTGTAAAGGTGATATCAGAGTTAGAATTCAACCATTTGAGATGGGACTATTTTATCATCAATACTTGATACATACTCATTATTTGTACTTCTAACAATATTCAATGATACAGCCTTTAAAATACAATTTTACAAGCAGATAATGCACATACGCCAATTACAGTTTAAGTAAGGTTCACAATTAAGTCTTTTGGACACTTCCAAAAACATTTTTCCTTTTATTATGACTAATTGGATTTCAGAAAATGAAGTATAAGTTTGCACAAAGTAATCCTTGACAAGTTTACAGTACTTCCTCAAATAACCAGCAGAATTTTTCACAAGTCACTGATACACAACTGTTCCATAGCAGAAGTAGACACTACTAGCTCAACAACAGTTTTGGTTTGGGGGAGCAATTTTACCAGGCTTCTATAACCAAGTGCAAACACTAAGACCATGATGACACAGAATAAACTACCTTCTCAGTGCTACAGATGGCTATATTTAAAGTAGAAAAGTGGGAACATGACTACAGAATTTGCATCAAGATGAAATCTACCCATGTATCAAGCAACAAGCTCTACTTGGAACCTATCTTTGGGGAGCAAACTGTTTCTTCCTACTGGAAAAGCCAAGAAGGCAATGATTAAAGTAACTACAAGAAGTAACTTGCTGCGTATCTTAACTGTGAGCACAGCACAGTCCCACTTTTTTTTCATTTACTTTAACCAGGATAAAAAGACACCAGGAATACCACAAGTCCTTCCACCTCAGCAACTGCTAAGTCTCTGAGAAAAGGGAAGGACAATGAGTCAATCACAGCACCAGGAGCAGCCAAGGATCCTACGCCAGCAGTAGGCAGTGGACTTCAGCTCTCACTATTATATGAACAAAAGTTTCTGCCAGGCCCCCTACAACTGCTCCTGAAACTTTCTGAAGGGTGAAGTTACCAGAGAGGATGAAGGACGCCAATAAGCTTCCCGCCAGCCCTTTTCTGTACATGTGTTTTAGACAGCATATTTTTCAAATCAGATCTACACTTGAGAAAAATGATCAGGTTCTATACCTCTCCAAGACTTTTTTACATGAAAATCCAATACTGACACAAGTAATAAAACTTAGCAGTCACAGAACTGGAGAGTAATGTCACTTCTTGCTCCTGTTTCTTTCTAATGCTGATCTGCTAGAAATCAGCTAGTCTGTTGTAATAAACAGTAGAAAACAGTAAGGTGTTTGCATATGAACAATTTGGCATTCTAAACACTTGACAGAGTACCCTCACACCATACATGACCATTTCAGCAGATGTCAAATACAATAATTAGAACAACACAATGTTAACATTGCAAAAAGGGATGGTAATTTGGATAATTTTCACAGAAGATAATCTACATGCAGTTTACCTTTTATGCCATGCAAGATCAGTCCATTTTTACCAGCAACCTGAGTTCTTGAACACTATAATATTTACTTAAGTAACTATAACAGTTTTACTACTGTGAATAGTAATTCCCTTACCAGACTCTCAATATTTTTACATAAGAACTGTCACCTTACACACTGGTGTCTTGAAAAGACCAAAGACAATGAAGATTTAATCAACTTTTTAATATAATTTGTTAAAATTATTTATTTTTGAGACTAGAAATTCTGCAATGGGTGAAAATTATGTCCTGTGACTATTTTTGTATCATTCCCGGAATTCCTTCCCCACCCCCAGGCCTCCCTCTCCCGACGCCCCCTAAAATCCAACTAACTCATTATGATAGAAGATGGAAAAAAATTATTTTCCTATTATTTAATGTCAGGACAATTTCAAATCCTTATGTAGGTCATCTTCCTCTGTACAACACAAGTACAGCGGCACCTTCCGGACCAAGACATTTCAAGAGCTCTTCACTAACAGATGGATTTTAAAAAACAAGTTCAACAAACAATCTGTTTAACATCTTACACAAAACACTTCTGCTAAAGCTGGACATAGAAAATAACTAAAATTCCTACTTGGAACAAAACAGAGAACTGATTTTAATCCACTAAAATGTCAGAAAATATCAGTCAATATATCTGGATCAAGCTGCATAAAAATATCCTGCAGATACTTTTCTTAGTCTTTATACAATTTTCCTATATGAAGGATTAGAAGCAACCTCTATCATTACTGAATTTCAATTCTTTCTCACAGGGACCCATTTGTTTAACTGGGTAATTATTACTAATTTCTAGTATTAACACATAAAAATTAATATACCATTTTCAACGGACACTTTCTGAAAGTGATGATAACACCTGGAGATTAACAAGAGAAGTTTAAATCCCTTGCTAATCTGAAGAACAACTATAAAGGGCAATTATAGTGCAAGTTTCTTTACTGGCATTACCTAACCTAGTAAACATTCCTAAAGGTAGAAAACATTCCACGTGTGTACTCACTCAAAATCTGTGACTGCCAATTATCAAAGGTATTTTTTGAATTCTTAAGAGGACTTAATATGCCAACTTTTGTTTCATAATTTACATTTTCTGAAACAAAATTAACAATCCACATAGAAACAGGTTAAACCTGACTACTTAGCAGTCTGGTGTCATTTCAAGGTATTATTAACTCCTAGCAATAAAACATCTGGATCTGGATCCCCTTTTTATAAGGCTTGTTTATCTGACATTGTCTCATTCCACTGTAAACCAACACATTTTCTTCTAGCAATTGCAGAGAAAGAGTGTGAAACATGGCAAAATGGCTAATTGTTGGGGCCAGAAACAGAAATTGGACATTTCTGGTTTGATAAGTGTATGTAACAGGTTCTAGATTTAATCAGCAGGATTCTCAGTATGAACAGATGTTAATGGGAAGCTGTGAAGTACATTATTTCAGTTCTATTTGAAAATTCCATGATAAAACTATTGTTTTACACAACAGAAAAGGCAGAGCGTGATTATTTTGCAACCTTTGGCTTCATTTGTAGCACAAGCAATTTGGATTCTTCTTCTATTAAGAAGGTGATGTAAATTACTTAATGGCTAAGACCTCCAGTACTACTCTTCCTAGTATTTACCTAACTGACTTAATCACTCAGATTTAACTCTGTCCCACTTTGATAGGTTTTTACTTCCCTCTCCAGCGGCTGAAAAACATTTGAAGAAGGAAGGCAAGTATGGCCAGTAAAGATAAGACTAACACAGGATGAAGACCTACAGTTTAAATCACAAAGAAATAACTTTTTCTAAGTAGAAAAGCCAGTTGATTCTATCAAAAAACTTAATGCTGAAGGAACAGACAAAAAGAAGCCACGCCTAAACAAGATTCGTGGTTTGGGGGAAACAAAGCTATACCCAAATATTCTGATAGCCAGAAGTCTGAGACATCCTTTTGAAAAACAGTGCCTCTTAAAACCAACCCCAGCAAGCCCAGAGTTGGTTTAAAGTATTATGTGTAACCTACGAAGGGCATCGCAGCCGTTTCACACAATACTTTAAACCAACAGGTGTTCTCTGTACCCAGGCTTACTTCACTAAGAAAGGAACAGGCTCCAACACACAGGAAGCTGAAAGCAGTGTATGTCAATACACTACTCCACTGTACAAAAACTACTTTAAATTCAAACCTGAAGGCAGTAGTCTCAAGATACTATACAAGGAAGGCAGATTGAAGATTATATAAAATTTGTCAGTGCTCTCTTTCACATTATTTTTTATACTCTTTCAATAAATTAATAGCCAATACACTGTATTGCTTTCCTCAACTGTGGTTTATCTCTTAGTAATACTTTTCTCACTGTCACCACATGCTGAGTCAGAGAATCAGCGGTAGAAGGATGCTTCATTGCATATCGTTTGAGCAAAAAAAATGAAGCCATTTTAAGGAAATACCTGAAAATGACAACTCTACGAGGGCAATAAATAAATTCCTTGGTGCCACTTACCTTTCTGTTGCATAAAAGCAAAAAGCTTCTGTAACATGGATTTCTGTATGATAATTTGAGTATCACCCAGTGATACAAAAAAATCACATACCAACTTAGGTGCAGAAAACCAGTTCTGTGTTCCACTATCCACCACACCCACCCAATAATGATATCAGCGTATTAAATATGGATGCCTAGATCTTTATAGATCTAATGTGGAAAGCATTTCCTAGATTATGACCAATACTTTTGTTCTTCAAAATGATTTATCAAGTAATTTTACCATTCCTCTATTTTAACAGGAAACTGCTCAGCAGAGAAAAGCTGATTAAAGACAATAAAATTGGAAGATCTGTTGTTCTAGACATATTGTTTCAATAAATATCTAGAATTAATCAATTAATTCCTCTTCTCTAAGGTATTTAAGAGGCTAACCTATCCATGTCTGAAGGGCACTAGGCGGAACAGCCAAAAAGAGACAATTTGTTCAAAATGGAGTGGGTGTGATTCTACAGTCTCACAAAACATCCACCCACCACATGAATGGTAAAGATATTAGCCATATGAAATAGTTTACATTTGCCAAATGGAGTGTACCTGTAATCCACCAGTAAAAAATAAATTGCACTACACAGACTGCTGTTCATCTCCTTCTAAACACCTACAGCCCAGTAAAAATATAAAATCCTAGTAAAAATGATAAAACGCAAAGACCGTGTTCAAACACACAGATGGATTGTTTTCTGCCCCACAAGATAACAAATCCAAAAGAAACGCAACCTTCCAAAATGAACAGGTAAGTCAGTGGCTTCTTAAAACAAGAGAAAAATAAGTATAGGCATATGAATTTTACAAGGTCATGTGACACTCGTGTATACAGACACTCCTCCTTTCCCTCCCACCATCAATGGTTTTCCCCATACAGAAATAATAATATACCACACTCTCAGTATCATGAAAACCAACGCAGGGATCAAGCCTGCTTGGGAGGCTCTTTGCAAACCAGTCTGCATTCAGTAGGTCGTATGCTTAACAGATTTCAGGTTTGGCGTTGCGTTTTTAACCCATCACTTCTTCTTGCACCAAGAACGAGGTTTGCGCGTTTTGTTCCGCGGGTGGCAGCGCGCGCCTCCGCGATCTCTGCGCCGGGGACCCGACTGCCTGCGGCTGCACAGGGTGGGGACTCACCCAGGCTGACATTGTCTAGATGCCACACACTACATCCCTCGCGCATCCCCGGCTGACTTCCCAGCCTCTTCCAAGGCATGCCTCAATCGGGGAAAGCCCGGGGGGCACACACATACCAGAATCCTCCACCAGTTACCAGAGCCTCTCGAGAAAAAAACACCCGACGGTGTCTGGGGCGTGGAGGGGCGCAGGGCACAGGCGCGGGCCGGTAAACGCGCACCCCTCCCGCACCCCTTCGCTCCGTGCTCCCGCCCAGCCTCGGCGGTGGCTCGGGGGCCGAGGGGACGCGGCAGGAAACGCCGCCCGCCGGTCTGCCACCGCCGCCCCCCAGAAAAAGCGACACGAAGGCGGCTCCGCCACTCACCTCGCCCCGGCTCCGGGGGGAGCCCCGGCGGGCAGCGGCGACGCCCCACAGAACAGAGGGGAGAGGCGCCGGGTTCGCTCCCGCTCGCTGCCGGCGGCGGCACCCGGGTCCGTTCTGCCTGCAGACCCCCTCGGCGGCGGCGGCGGCTGCTGCTGCTGCTGCTGCTCCTCCTGCCTCCACTAATGGTGGCCGCCGATACCGGTTCCTTTCGCCGCTCCCTTCCTTTCCCGTTCCTTGTTTCCGCCGAGCGCGGAACCGCCTCCACCCGGCGGCCGAGGCGCGTCCCTGCCCAGCAGCGGAGACGCCGCTCCCCACACGCCGCCGCCGCCGCCCGGGCACCGCCGCCGCTCCGGCTCCCCCCGCCGCTCACTTCCGGCGCGCGGGCCGCGCCTCGCCCCGCCCTGCCGGGACCGGCGCCAGCCACGGGGGGCGGCGACGGACCCGCAGCGCCGGAGCGGCCGTTGGGCGCGCGGGGGGCGGCTGGGCACGGCTGGGCACGCGAGCGGCCGTTGGGCACGCGAGCGGCCGTTGGGCGCGCGGGGGGCGGCTGGCGCGCGCGGAGCCCATCGATCCCCGCGGAGCCGCTCCGCCGGTGCCGATCCCCGCGGAGCCCATCGATCCCTGCGTTGCCGATCCCTCGCTGCCGATCGATCCCTGCGGTGCCGTTGCCCGCTGAGCGGGTCCGGGCGGTGCCGGCGCGCTCTCGGCGGGCGCTGCCCGCGCTCCAGGCAGCTTGGGGTTGCGGTTCCGTCCGCAGGTAAAGGCGCTGCGGGACGTTCCCTGTTCCGATCACCGAAGGTTTTTGTTGTCGGCAAATTACCAAATCCTACCGAAGTCCTCGGTCGTGTGTCCCGCTGACCCTGGGGCAGCCGCGGACCGCGTCGCCTCGGCTACGCTCTGGCCCGGCGGAGGGTTTGCCCCCGTTTCTCATCCTACCACAGCTTCAGGGCCGAGATCACTATTTTTAAAGCTATTTACAAAATGGAATAAACGCTAGTTACTTGCTACTGCAGGTAGTGCTATAGGAGGGGAGATTCGCTTAAATACAATTTATTGCCTTGGGGCTCCAAGCCGCAGCGCAGGAGAGGTGGCATGCACGCTGCCTTCCCCCGCGAACGTGCTTTTCCCCTGTGCTACAGCCGCTGTCTATTGTGACAGAGCACAGGCGTGTTTTACATCAGCGTTTATCTAGTATTTGACAGGCACAAAACTTCACTCCAAGTACAGTATTATCCATAAATGTGAACAATTATGCAAAATGACGCTTGTTGTTTTACTGCTGTAAGTACTAATTTAACAATGAGATTACAAGCTAGGTCAACAGCAACATGAAGATCTGTTTAAAATATAGGCTAGTACATCAGAAAAATATTTTCATGTGTACATACAATTAACTAATTTGAAAAACAAAGTTCACCCATTTAATTCTAACATCTAAAATCTGCGCTATATAAATTCACCTTAATATGTAATCACTTAAAAATTCTGTACAACATAATAAAATGTTGCCAATTAGCAACATCCCAGACAAGTTAAGATCAAAGTTATGGATGCAGAAATATATGAATTATCAATATGGAATACATGCATTCATCACCAAGAGACCACCGTAGTCTTCTGGAGTTGCATATAAAATATTTTTAATCCAACTGTTCCAAATTCTAGACTGCTACTTATACATTGCTTCATGGTTTGTGAAGTTCCACAATTAAGAGGTGTTTGGGCTCACATTATTTAATAAAAGTGGTTAGTATTTCAGATTTCAGTGCTGTTCTGCACTTGAAGCTTATCAGCAGTGAGAGTGAGCTGGCAGAGACTATGAATCTGATGTTATCAGCAGGTTAGACTTCGTCTAGAGGTTGTATTAATCCCACCACACTTTCCTACTGATCCTCTGTGACCCTGAAGGGATTAGAATGACAACACCTCCCCCAGAAGCAGGCTTCAGATGGCCCGAGGGAGCACAGGGAGTGCATGGGCAATGTAAGGAGTAACTTGGGTGTGCCATGGCCAGGTTCCTTAGGGCAGTTCTGTGGCAGCTGACCCAGAACAGAAGCACTGCAGAGTCTCACATTCTGCACCACTGCAGCTCAGGAGCTGCACGGCCATGAAGTGTGCAAAGCTTCATGTACCCTCAGCTATGAAATTCCCTCAAAAGGAAAAAGAGGCTGCAACTGATTACTGCAAACTCTGCTTTTGGCATGTGGGAATATTATTCTCTTATATCAAACTTGTAAGTTGTCCCTGAGCCTGAGCAAACAATAGACAACAGAGTTGATTTAATGTAGGGTAGAGATCAGAGCTAGACTATTTGAAGTTTGAGGACCAGATTGGATCTGTGTGCATCCTACAGAGCCACTATCCAATTACAGACGCAAGTTACTAATGTAAAATCATCCCCCAGGCCAAGGAAATAGTACATACCTGCTGCAGATGTTAGGTAAGGTTTATGACTAGGAAATCTAGTCATGCATCTTCCAATGAAATTAACAGGTAATGAATTTAAAAAATAAGTGAAACCTTTTGAGAAGGTTAAAAGGTTGGTTTAAATGTATATCTGCATTGAAATAAAAAAGGATAAAATGGATCATTTTTTTAATCAGGGAAATAATTCTGTGGCTGTTGACCCTTTCTTCTCCCAAATATTGCCTATCAATCTCAATTTCACTTACAGCTAAGCACTGTTGGCAGCTGAGCTTAATTTTGAATTCTTCAAAGGTTTTATTTTCTTTATTTAAATAATCCTGAATAAGAAAACATAAATAAGCAAAGGTTACATAGGCTTCTGGATCATTAGACAGTTGGGAGAATTTCTGTGAAGGATACACCAAGCAAGGGCTGGAAATATGAGAGTTCAAAATTAAGATAAACTCTCACCTTGATTGCTTTGTTGGACCTAAGAAAGCTCAATGACTTGAGCAGTTGAAAATTCATATTTTGGTGAAGACCTGCTGGGTCTGACCTAGACAATCAAAACTATATGTGTGTGCATGTGTAGGTACATCTAAATATCCCTGCAACTATACCATCATGGAACCTTGAGCACTTATGGTGCCTGCCAGCTCTAGCAAGGAGAAGAGCAGTCTGATGCTTTTTACCTGCTTCTTTATTAACTTCTTTTGCTAGCTACAGGGTTCAAGGCAAAAATCCTTAAAAAGACAAAATCCTCAAAAAGCCTTTCCTGTTCATCATTAGCTTGCTTAATCTATACTGTATCTATCACTGCTCCCCTAGCTATAATGGCATTTCCAAATGGGAATTCTGACAAAGTATTACAGCATTTCTTAGCAACAGGTATAGCACCCATAGCCATTAACATCAATAATTCATTTCATCCAGACTTACATTAAAAATGTCTACTCTCAGATCTTATCTACTGTTTATGGACAACGATGTCATTAAGGGGTTCTGACCTTGCAGCAACTGGTATGATGAGAGCAGTAACCTGTAATAGGAATGCAGACTTGGGCAGGAGCTCCTGGGGTTTCAAGCCAGCCAGCATGATACATAATCCATTGTAGAAACTCCTCATGTTCTAGCTTAAGGCCACTAAGCTTTCTCAGGGCTACCATTCAGTGGGAAGGCTGCTGCCATTTGCATGGGGGAACGGGTTCAGAGGAGCAGCAGCACAAACACTGGAATGGAAACACTGTTTTCTGGACTCATTTAATCAGTGTAAATGAGAAAAAAAATCTTGGCTAATTCCAGCTGAACTACACCTGAATTACAGTGGGATGACAGCTCTGAATCCAAAGAACAGAATGTCTGTAGATGAAAATATAACCACTCTTTTCTTCATGCACTTTCCCTTCATTCCACCTCTAAGAACTAGAGAAGCATCCATTGTCTTTCTCAGTTGATGAGTGAATAATACGTCCTTAGAGTCAGAAAGGATATCTTGTTTATAGCCAAAGTCTGAATTCTGCTCTCATCTTCATTACAGACTTACTATTGATACTCTTTTTATGGAAATATCAGCATTTCAGACTAGCAAATAATCTATCTATACCATTTGTTATCATTACCAGTCCTTTTAATGAAGACTTAAACCACCCCATCACAGATCTCAATAAATCATCATGGCTAACACATGCCAAAAAAACATTTCTTCTTTACCATCAAAGCAATCAGCTTATGCTGCTGAAGCAGGAAGCTTGTTTGTCCCCTGCATTGTTGTAATCTGGAGCATACAGCTGCAAATTTTGTCTTTGCTCACAAAGCTTCTTAAATCTCTTTTTTAATTCTACTAAACTCTTTGCCTTGATGACTGCCCATTACAATTGGATTCCATAGACAGAAAATATACTGTGTGAAATCATATTGAAAATGTGTTCTGGTAGGTTTTGCTCTATGAACTGGGGCATAGAGGCTGTGATTAGCTGACTTCCGTATACACTTGATGAAATTTCATCTTACATGAAGCTCCTCTTGCCTCCATAATCTCTGCTACCCTCCATTACTTTTTATTCTGCACAGTTAATTTTCTCGTTCCTTTTTAAATCCTTTGAGGCAAACCCTGGCCCTCATGAATGTATCAGAGCACCTGTGCAGCCATGCACATAAAAATAGGGAAGGAACAACACACACAGAGATTAGGATCTTCCAACATACAGGGCACCACAGGGACTCTCTGGACTCTCCTCCCGAGCTGAAGTCAGTAATTGATTTTAATGGGAACAGGGCTGAGCTAATGCTGGCACTTTGGAAAATCCCACCCAAGGGATTCAGTGATATTGAAAGTGCTTGAGGCAGGTTAACTGCAGGCTTTTCCACTAATGGGGAATGGCGCAGTTGTCTTTATTAATTTTCCTTCTCCAAAGTGCAATTAAAAATGTATATATTTTTATATCCTTAGGAACAAAATAATGTAAAATGCTTCTATTTCTAGAGACACTTACTGAAAGGCAAATAAATGAGTGATTTTCTGAAGCACAGTTACAGGCCTTGATATCTATCACACTCTGTGAGAATCTATTAATACTCTCCTGCTGCCCTTCTTTTTCCTTCAGCTCATTCAATATAATTACAAGGGAAAATAAAGTCAATGTGGGTCTCAATCACATCAGATGCACTGTCTATTTTTAAAGCAAGGTTTTTCATCATCTTCCTGGAGACAGGAGAACCAACACTTTTCTATCGGACCATACCTTCAAAACCAAGAGAAAGAAATTTCAGTGGTGAAGATGAATCAGAAAATGGCCATTAACACAGGGAAGAAAAGGTGGCATGAACTGGAATGAGGTGTAAACAACAGGAAGGGGGATGATGTAAACAAATGCTAGAGGACATTGTTATGGTCAGTTTTTGGAAAAGTCACTACATGGTTAAGTGTGGTCTAAAAAAAGAAAACAAAGCTATGGCAACTATTTTGCAAACAATTCTACAAATAAATATAGTCTTTAGCTGTCTCTGAAAACGATGAGATTACTCATTCATAAAAATGCTGAGGTTCTGGAACATTATTCACTTAAAATACAAATAGTGATTCTTTTCCATACATTTATTCAAACAACATTAGAATTTTAAGCATAGTGGCGAACATCACCACTTCAAAAGATCCCATTGCTAAAATGTAAAGGCAGAAGTTTGGTCATTAACATCACAGTGAAATGGCAGCAGAGTACCAGAAGTTTTGCACTCTTGAGAACAACTGCTTTACATAAAATAATCAAATCCACAATACGTTTGAAATACTGAGGGAGGTGAGTGGCAGAGTGGGGTGGGAAAAGAAACTAATTTTATTTCTCTTTTCTGCTT